AACTACTACTGTTAGTGGACGCACTTTGTCCTCAAGGATTAACATTAGCTTACATTGTGCTCACTGCAGCTCTTTTCATGAATATTTTGGTATCTAACTCATTGAATTAAGTATTTATTTAGACCAATCCAACGTTAGTGATTGTTGGAAGGACTAACAAAGACCGTTTTATTTAGTTTCCCATTGTTTCGGTCTGAGATGTTGGTGCTCTAGTGCGACATCCAGTGGCAAGTTTCCTTTTTCCTAACTGGACATCTAATAAAACTAATTTTCAGCTGCCTTTAAACATAAACATGAATCAGTAGTCTTCTTGCTCTTTTAGTCTTTTCCCCCCGTGTGCAGGTGCTGGGCTGCTGCCAGTCTTGAGTTTTACCTCTGGACCTGCAGCCAGCAGAGAGGAGCACAGCGAGTCCTCCATGGTCTCCGGCAGGATGGAGGCGCTTTCCCGGCCCACCACCGCCAACAGGCCGCTGTTCTGGGAGAAAAACACCGGCAGGTTGGCACAGCAGCCTCCGCCACGTACTCCATCACCTGGACAGACAGAGAGGGAAATGAACAGGTCTTTTCTATCAACCCCTTTTTAATCCCAAACAAAAAGAAATTCAAATATATGCATACATTATTAAACCCACTACAAGGAGAGTTAACTGGTTATGATTTAATGCTGATGCCTCTATAATATGATCTCAAGCCTTAATGTCTGTTTCCAGGTGGGATTCACCTTAAAATCAATAAAATGAGGAGGTATAAACACTACTGCTTCTGTCCACAGGGGTCGCCAGAATCAACACAAAATGAAAGTTCCTTGTTTCTGCTTTAAGATACTTTTCCCCACACATGTACTTTCTTCATGATCAGTGAACAAAACACTTAAAATTCTAAAATTTACAAAAAGAATTGATTTTATGTCATAGTTACTCACTCGTTATTCTTTTTTATCACCTACTCTGTCGCCTTGTTGTGCTAACCTGTAAGAGCTTTAATAACTGACTGACATCTTCTTGAATTTCCCTCGGGATAAATAAAGTATCTATCTATCTTAAGAAACATTTAAAACCATATCTGCTGTAATTCTCCTTTCTCTAAAATCATCATCATCATTCAGAGAGTTTTATTTTCTCACCAGGTGAGTTAAAGCTGATTTTCTCATCAGGTAGTCCTCCCCTGCTGGTTCCCGTCGAACACGCAAACACCAGCTCCTCATTATACAGGAAGGCGGTGGAGCCGGGGGAGCGCGGGAGCACCAGCCGAGTGGCCTGTAGGGCCTCCTCGCTCTGAGGAACAAAGACATCGCAACATTTTAAATACATCTTCTAAAACTAAATCCACCGCTGCAGTATCAGGATCAGGACTCACGAGGAACGGAGGGTTGTACTTGGTGACTTCCACAGTAAACTGCTCGGAGATTGCGGCTCCGTCGTCCTGCAGGGTGACGAGGCAGAAGTAAGCCAGACAGGGAGTGTCTGACGGGTGCCAGGCTGCAGCCAGAACCACCAGGCCGGCTCTGAAAACACAGCACAGACGGCGGCTTAGTTCGGCGAAGATATACCTATTTTGGTTGATTATTATGAGTCTCGAGTTGCCGTTTGTCTCCTTGCTAGAAGAATTTATTTGCTAGAAAGTAAAACTCTCCTCTTCTCCAATTCATTGATCTTTGATTTAAGAGGTTATTGATCACATTCAGTCAGAGAGGATTAAAATCAATGGAAAAACATTGCTGAAGTAGGTAGATTTTTAGTTAATTAATTTCCACCTAAGCTTAAAATAACACAAAAGACGTTTTATTTTGAAGTGTGAAATAAACAGGAAGTCACAAACACACTCACTGGCTGAGCTTCATATCCAGGTACGTCACATTCACTCCCTCCTTCATCTCCTCGTAGTTGCTCTCCGAACCCTGGCGGGAGAGAAACGTTGGGAGATATTTTCAGACATGAACGTGACAGACGTCTACAGTCCTGAAGCTTTGAATGATGAACCTAGTTTAGATTTAATTAACTGTAATAATCAGAACCGACATGACCCTTACTGTTCAGTGCTGTGTACTGTACTGTGCCACTGTGCCGCACTGACTCAGGCTGAAACACAGCGTAAATGATCACGTGTATCTTCGTACTGACCCAGATGGCGTCTGCGATGCTCTCCGTCAGCGCTCTCTGGGCGTCCCAGCTGAGGATCTGGTGCTCGTAGCTGTCGTCCACCTCCCATTTACTCAGACTGGAGCTGGTCAGCGTGTACAGGCAGCTGGCTCCGCCTACCCACAGCACGCTGTGGAGCTGCAGCAGGAACCAAAGAGACAGAGTGAGGTCCACTGTGCCGAAAATGCTCCATTGAAACTACAGCTGAGGCTGTAGTGAGGGAATTTCTACACACAGACACATAGATTGTATTTTATTTTGTAAGCGTGACTCACTGTGTCGTTGGCTGGCGGCGAGAGGATGCCGAACAGGCTGGAGACACGGCGTCCGATGCCGGAGAGCATCCCCTGACCCTGCTGCAGAGCTCGGTACTGAAGCTTCCCCGAAGAATCTGCACTCGCTCTCAACAGCCGACTCTTCACTGAGGACAGGACGAAGCTTCCTCCCTGAGAGAAGAGAGAAGAGAGAAGAGTAAAGACGGAGGAGAAGAGTAAGAGAGAGAAGAAGAGTAAAGACGGAGAGAGAAGGAGAAGAGAAAAGAAGAGAAGAGTACGAGGTAAAGACGGAGAGAGAAGAGTAAAGAGGAAAGGAGAAGAGTAAAGACGGAGAAGAAGAGAGAAAGTAAAGACGGAGAGAGAAGAGAGAAGAGTAAAGACGGAGGAGAAAGAGAAAGTAAAGACGGGAAGAAGAAGAGAAGAGTAAGACGGAGAGAGAAGAGTAAAGACGGAGAGAAAGTATAAGAGAGAGAGAAGAGAGTAAGAGTAAAGACGAGAGAGAAGGAGAAGAGTAAAGACGGAGAGAGAAGATAAAACGAGAGAGAAGAGTAAGACGGAGAGAGAAGAGTAAAGACGGAGAAGAAGAGTAAAGACGAGAGAGAAGAGAGAAAGAGAGAAGAGTACGAGTAAGACGAAGAGAAGAGAGAAAGTTAAAGACGGAGAGAGAAGAGTACGGAGTAGACGGAAGAGAAGAGAGAAAGTAAAGACTGAGAGAGAAGAGAGAAGAGTAAAAGACGAGAAGAAGAGTAAGACGGAAGAGAGAAGAGTAAAGACGGAGAGAGAAGAGAGAAGAGTAAAACGGAGAGAGAAAGTAAAGCGGAGAAGAGTAAGACGGAGAGAGAAAGTGCGGAGTAAGACGGAGAGAGAAGAGTAAGAGGAGAGAGAAAGAGTGCGGAGTAAAGAGGAGAGAGGAGTAAAGACGGAGAGAGAAGAGTGCGAGTAAAGATGAGAGAGAAGAGAAGAAGAGTAAAGACGGAAAGAAGAGAGAAGAGTAAGAAATGGAGAAGAAGAGTAAAGACGGAGAAGAGAGAGAGAAAGTAAAGACGGAGAGAGAAGAGACTCTCGTGGATTCACTGCAGAAGATTGACTTACTCTGACAGCGACAACAAAGTTGCACAGATCTCCCAAGGTCACGTCTGCCTCCGTGTAGTTGCCTCCTGGCGAGGCTTCGCCACAAAGCGAGCCGTTCCCATCCGCAGCCACCGCCAGAGACGGAGATGGACTGAACGCGGCCGTCTCCAGGGAGCGCCGGACGCCACGGCAACTGAGGTGCGTAGTGGTCGTACTCACTGCCGGGCAAGCTGGAGCTCCTTAACACACACAGCTTGCAGGGAAACAAACGCAAGGAGTCGATGTGAAGGTAAGATGGACGTGTTCAGTGTACGGCAGTTGTTGTTTTTGCTACTTGCAGCTAGAGTTGAGCCCGGATCTCCTCTGCTCACTCACAGAACAGCTCTTCTCTCTCCAGACAGTCCACAAGTTCGGTGCCGTTAACCGACGTTTAGGTTCAGTCAGGTTGTTTGTACTTACTTATTTAACCAGTAGAGTTCTGGTAACGTGGGTCGTTCCGACGTGGTGCTTTGAATGCGTCTGACTAATCTCTGCTGTTCGGAGATTTTTTTCTTTTTCTTTTTTTAACCGTCGCTGGCTCTAACCCCCACAACAACACACACACACAAACACACACACACCCACACACCCACACACACACACACACACTGTCTCTCCCGCTCTCATGCGGTCGTCGGAGTTTTTTTAATTTTTTTGTTTAAACCCGTCCGGCCTGGCTCCTAATCACACACACACACCCACAGTGGTGGAAATACAAAAAATTAAAAAGAACCAAAAAAA